AATGTCCCTTGACCCACCTTACCCCACTCCTGTGCTGCTACACCGAAGTACATACGTGTAGCAAGAGGTACCAATATTGATCCATATACCGTGTTGTATTCAGTTGTCTTGAAACCTATCCAAAATGTTTAGGTTCGTGTAAGAGATATATAATCTGAGGCTTCAGGAGGTGATCCTTAAGCCTAACCATCTACTGCCCAGGCACCTTTTGCTAGGACACACCCTCAATCCTTCAAAATCCTCAAACTACCCCCAAGGAGAAATTGGGTAAAGCCTCAATCCTCCCAAATCCTCTGAGTATGTCTTGGATACGTTCCATGGAGGGATGAACACTGTTGCAATTCCGCACATTTTGTCGAGGCAGTGTGAAGGGTATCCTGGAGCAGTATGGATGATTTGATGTACATAATCTGGGCATGAATTTGTGCGTGGTGGAGCCTAAACAACATGAGTTCTACTTTGGATAATGCGTCTTTTGCAATGAGCAACACAGCTTTGCCATACAGCCTCAAAAAAGGATTGAGGATGGTTTGGGTTAAGGTTCTTCCAAGGTTTCAAAGATGAAGGTTGTGGTTGCCTCACAGTACAAATGATTATTCATTTTGGTATTTTCATAAATTTGATATTGGAATGTATGTGGAAGGATGTCATCTTTGTCGTATTCCTTCCAAACCTGCCAAAATCTTACAATATTTCATGAGTTAATGAGTTCCGTACAATTGACTGTATCCAGTGTTTACATCTGTGGGGTTCATAACCCACAATTTTTGTACAGCAGATGTATCATTGAAATATTGCGGATTCTGGCGAATTTCTCGTAAAAATGCCAAGTAAGTTACATTAGGATGAATTTCAGAAACCCTAAGAAAATCTCCATGTAAAAGAAAACAATCAGAAAAATTCCATCAAAAACGAATGAAAACTTTAAAATAGGTTAAATAAAGTTAATAGTACATGTATAGATCATAAATCATGCACATATTATTTGCTTGCCTCGTGTTGCAGCCAATTCTGGTATCAACTTCATTTCTGTTGAGCCAGCATCCAGACTTAGTTCTGAAATGCCTGTTTTCTTGAAACGAAGTGAAGAGTTACTGATCTTCCATAAATTGTCAACAAAGTCATTGACAATAAATTGTGGGGAGAATTGCAACCTTTAGTACTATCTTTATTCCAACTGTGTACAATGACAAGATACCATTCATTAAAAGTGTTAAATTGCCAGTCAGGCATCTCCAATCCCATACCTTCCTCCCGTGTCTGTCCAGCCTGACCTGGCTAGATTTCCCTTGACAAGAGGCCTACAGTCTCCTCTTCTCCCTTCCGTTTCTTCTCCAGCATACATTGACTACATAGCAACAGCTTGGCCCACCATCTTCACCAAATTACTTCCATCCTGACCTTGTTTGGCTGGATTTGACGTGACGCACAGGAAGTAGGGGGTTAAGTGCGGCCAGCTCTTTTGATCCTGTTTGTCCCTCCCTCCTCCAGACTTGTCGGGACTGTGAACTTGCCTAATTCTAGTGAGTGATTTTTGTCTGTGTAGGACCCTGATGACATGCATGTATGTAGTCAGTTTTGTGTGTGGCGACTTTTCAGGGTACAGTTTGAAAGTCTGAGTGTGTCTCAAATTGTTATAATTGAAATTGAGACAGGTGTCAAGTGAATTCCTTGCATACATGTACATGTACAGTAAGCCAGTATGTCAAGTAGATTGGAGGGCAAATACATACATGTACACATTTAATGACCCAGCTTTTTTACATTTTCACAACTAATCCAATCTGTGGAAGGCCACAGTCATTTGGACAGTGAGTGTTTAAATTTAAGTACTGGTTTTGCCCTTACCTGACATTACTGTATTTATAAACACTGTATACTCGGTGCTTGTCCAAGAGCTTACGAAAGAAGTTCACAAGCTTACTCGGGTGTGACTTGAACCCATGACCTCCTGCTTACTAGTACAGCTGTCTTAACCACTTGATCACTGAGTTTGCCAGGGTTGGCTGGTTGGTCTGAGGTAGGTCTAGCAGCGGGTACCACAAAATATTGTTGAAATTGTCCCTTGTGAACTTGTGCTGCTTGGTATGTCAATATGTACATGTAGCAATGATTTTTTGAAATCATTTTAGCAATGAGTGGCCAGTATTAGAGTGACCTTGCGTGACCAACATCTGTGACCATACAGTTACTAGGTCCCTAAATTCGCCAGCTACATGTTTTTTCAGGTCTGATTGGTTTAGACAGTGGGTGGCGAAATAAGGGACCTGGTGATCGGTCACAGACGTTAGTTGTACATGTTCTGTAGGGCCTGTTTGTTTCATACAAATGCAGATCGCGATCAGTGATCTGTTGCTGGTTCACTGACACCAAAACCCACCTGATGGATAGCGCGAACCAGCTCTTGGATCACTGATCCAAATCCGGATCATGATCAGTGATCTGTTGCTGGTTCACTGACACCAGAACCCACCTAATGGATAGTGCGAAACAACTCTTGGATTGCAGATCCCAATCCAGATACAAACAGGCCCCAAGATAAAGTTTGATTTGTGGGGTTTTGGCCAATTGATGTCCATTGATACTTGCAGAAATGATTCCCTTTCGTATGCATTTATGTAGGTTATCAGCCACTTCTGTTTGAATACATGTATCCTATGATACAGTAGTCAATACAAAGACAAAGTGTCAGAGGCACGTGATTACCGTGCGTGCTTATTAAATACAACCAGGAACTTAGAGGAAGTCTAGGCTGGGGGTGGAACCTGGTAAGGTTTAGGCAGTTGGAATGGAGGAAGTTATGGATTGTCTGTTGCTTGGTATCGCTGGTTGGCAGGCACACGGCCGATCAGGGCAGAGCGGCAAAGGACGCCTGCAAAGGGAGGGGGGAGTTTTAGACTTGGACTGAAATACTTGATCATTATCACGTCCTGTATTTTCAGTTGTCTCACAGGCCGAGTCTGGGTTTCAGTTGCAAGAGACACAGTTTCATTCTGTCACATAAAAGTCACAAGATCATACTAGTCACCTCGGCAACTGTCTCTATGACGAAACATGAATGCGCAGGTAAAACGGAAGCAGTGTATTATTTCATTTGCGGCCATGAAGCGATGCCTGTTCTCGTTGCGCATGTACATACCGGTACTTCCGGTTTTCCAATTAACAACTGTCCTGCCCAAAAAGCCAGTAGCATCAGGTTGCTAACATCATGGAACTGGCAATATTACAGTGTAGGTGTGTGGTTTCCATTTCCTGCAGGCTAAGCCAAAAAGGTCAGGGCTTTTGTCTGGTTGGGACAGGTAAGACAACAAAGGAAACATGGCTGGCCAGCAAGTTTTTTTGACATGTGTTAAGGGCCTGTTCTTCATAATGTGAGAACAAATGTTGGTGCTTGGTCAAATGTACATGCGCATAAATGTACATGTGTACTTCCTAAACCTCCCATTTTGTAGATGTACCGGTTAAGTGTATTGTGAAGAGTTTTCCATTTCAACATGTACTGTAAATACATTTACTACAAGGTACGCTCTCAGTAAGCATATATACATAGATGTACGGCACATGTACATTTGTATGCATTGACATGGGCTTACGTGTGTGCAGACAGCATGGCTTCATGTACATTTACATGCATGTGCCAGCAGCTCATGAACAGGAAGTTCAGGATGTAAGGAATATGTCATTTCAGCACTTAGTGAATCGACTCAATGACTAGTTCTCCACCAATCCCGAAAGAATTGATTGTGCCGATATTGACTTTGCTTACGGTAGTGCATGTGCACGACTTAGATCAATTTCCAGCCAAATTTGATATCTACAGTCTTCTTGTGGAACTTATTGTTTAGTTCATAGTGGTTGTGTCTGTTTGGCCCCTGAGGGAGCAAAATCTTTATTCTGATGGAAGAGATCAGCTGGTTCATTCAGCTGGTTTGTGAGAAGTTTGACACCAAAGTAATTGCAGAAAACAGGAAATGCATGCAGACATGCATTTTACCCATTCTGAATTGGACCTAATTCTATGTAGCTCTTTAAAATCAGAAAATTTTCCATAAAATAATTTAAGCATGAAATAAATACCGTGCTTAAGCCTTAAAGTCCTCATGAAATGAATTGCATTTCTGTTAGCAGACAATTATGCACTTAGCAGGAAACTGAACTTAGGTTTAATATCCAGTGCATTTTGCCCTTTTTTAAGCTCAAGTGTAACTTGTTCATTGGGGTCTCATTTATTTCCCTCAACTATTAAAACAATATATCACATGTCAGTTGGACGCCTTACTGTGCCTGGCTTTATCTGACCAAAATGAAGTTCTCGAGGAAGTGCTTGGTGTGCCTGTATGAGACAGACTGTCAACTCCTGATCATGCCTACTCTTCCTGAATGCATTAATGAGCAGGAGTCCCAGGAAATGCTATCTGACATCATGTAGGCCTACACATCTTACAGGGGTGGGGCCATGGATGGGGGGCCACTTAATGGTTGCTTGTCAATGGGGAACAGTTGGTTTGGATGGTATTAGTGGATATGGTGGTATTATGCAACTGTGACCAGAGTCCACTTTTAATGGGACTTTGTAACTCAGAATTTCCCTTTTTTCTCATGTTAGTTCATCCTCACTCTGTTGTAGCTATTAGTGAAACTCATACATGTAGCAAGCATTGGCTAGAATGCACCAACTTGTCAACAGTGGTGGCTGAAAAAAACTAATTTTAATGGGTGAAAAAAAAAGTTCAAAGGTCCAAACTGTCCTGTTTGTGAATGACTGGGAAGTTTGAAATGTGATTGTGAATAGTAATAGACTAGGCAGCTTCACCAAAATGAGAACTAAGTTGGGATATTACATGTGTTGTTATACAATACATGCACAAATTCCTGTCTGATCAGTGATCATTGATCACATCATTCCATTATTCATTGTATTCAATGGTACCCGTTAAGTAGAATTTCTTTTTGCTTAACTGTTTCCCCCCCCTCCATTCTATATTCTTTCACAGTAAGGAAGAGGAAAATGTAGGGATGGGAATCAATGTCACATTACATGAGACTACCAGTGGGTGGCGCTGACTGCCAGTGGGTGGCGCTTCAGACTCGAATCTGTGTCAAAAAAATGGCAGACATTAATATGCGAAGACTGTTAATTTGTTTTTACAGAAGAGGATTTATATAGGTGTTATATAAAAAAAAATTAATAAGTGAATGTTTCACATTTGTGCAGAGTTAAGAACAATTTCATTTGGTGATTTACTGTGGAGTGAAACATTTCATCTGTCACTTTATGAAATTATTCCTACCATTGTACTCATAAACATTCATTGTTTGTATACTACCCAGTATTATGCCTTTGAATCCTGTAATCTTATTGTTGGGCATGAGAAGGAATGTCCACATTCTATGGAGTGGCTCCCAATAGAATTGGCTTTAAATAGGTCAGGTATTTCCATTGCTTTTTCTGCTTAAACCCTCTTCACATTGTACCTGCCTTCTTGTAGCATACACTTGCTCACAATTTACACATCTATAATTTACTAAGAAATTTTACACAGTGACAACTGCACATGCATTCATGTACATGGCACTTCAGTAAACACACGAGGATAATAACTTTCGACAAAGAGAGAGAAGCCACAAGTTCAGCACCATTTTTACGTTCAGCTCCATGGCTGCTATCATGGTATTTACCCACAGGGAAGTACCTACATTATTTTGACTGTATTAGGACCTGTACCCAGTGTGTATTGAACAGGACACATCGTATAAAGGGCAGTATAACCAACATTGTTATGTTTGTTCAGATTTCAGGAAATAGGGTACATAAACACTGTACCGTGCTTGAGATCAAAACTTGGCAGGAAAATGTTTTTATAAAGAGGTCAGAACTTTGCCAAGTACATGGTACATGTAGTTGCATAAAAACTGGAAAATTGCATCTATTTGAATACTACACATCCAGTCATAGCATATGATGCCATGTATGCTCATTATTTTGAGTGTCCATGAAAATGTATTTCTTGTCCCTTTTTTTTCATTTAACAGGAAATGACGTATTGAACATGTATGTACTTTGCAGCCAAGATTGTGTCCGTCCTCAGTGGTGAGATGTAGTGAAGAAAATTGACAGTGCCACATAAGTGTCACAACAGGAGTAACGAGCAGATTAATCAAGAGGTGAGAAATGTGTACCTTGTGCTTTGTATGTATGTATGTGTGCAATTGTTATCAGAGATGCACGCTTGTTCAATTTTCCTTTGCATTATCAATGGAGTAGTAAGTGGATTTTGAGAGAATTACATGTAATTTGGTAATGCTTGTACATAGACCGGAAGTCAATATTGCATAACGTTTTAATGGAAGTCTCTGGGAAATATGTAAAAGTTTTGTGTGCAGTCCATACAAAGGTTGGCACAGTTTCTGCTAAACATCAAACAGCAACTTCAGTGGCATGAACTTTGACCTTGACGTTATCAAGTCAGTATCAACTTGCCAGTTTCTTCTGGTGTGTCAGATTCTCTCTTAGGGGATGTATTGGTTGCTAGGACAGCTAGAGTCGAGTGTCAGATGTTAGAACATGGCTCAAGTTCGATGTTGCATTCTTGCCCTTTAAAATATACATATTTTCTCTTTTAGGAGAACCACACTCTACATGTTTAATTATTCTTTTTTTTTTACTCTTGTCTCAAATGATCGTCTTCCTTGTGCACAACCTGATATTTAAAAACAAAGTACTGTTGCCGGGTTGGTGTCTGTGTGACATTGCATGCAGCACCTCAAGGGTCTCAAAAATTAAGCCCTCCTGCCCAGAGTAGGCACTGGAAAAAACTAATCTAGGGCCAGGAGTTGTGAATTGAAATTCACAGTTGGGGGAGATGGTGCGGCGGTCCACTTTTCCAATCTGTTTACTAACAGAACCGCAAGCAGATCAGTGAAAGCTCATGGATGCATGGATCGTAAATGACAGGAGGAAAAACAGGATTGGAGTGAGTGTGGGTCATTAGCCAAGAGAGATAGAGAGAGAATAGGTTCACAGAGCCAACCTGTTTCCCTGTTGAATCCCTAGTGAATATCTAAAGGATTCCCATATGGCCTACTCAAGAGAAAAGAAACCAATTCCAGGTTTCGTTAAGATAGACACCGGTAGATCACAGTCGGAGAAAGGCTGAAAAATTGGAACCACAGTGCCCTCCTGCTTCCATAGAGAATCCCAAAGGAATGCACACAAAGCACACATGGTCCGTGCACCAGAAACATAATCCATATTGATTAAAGCCGGACTGAAGTCTGTGAAGATCCTGCATGAGGAAGTGCAAAAAAAAAATGGTCCCCTTGTGGCAGTTGACTTCCCTGGAGAATCCCGGGAGGATCTGAAGGGAAGCCCACCTGGCTGGTGAAGGCATCTAGAAACCAAGAACACATGCTGACCTAGGTGGACCTGGGGGGCCCCGGTTCACAGCTGAGGAAGTCCAAGTATGCCAGAGTGATCTCTCAGTGAATCGGAGAGGGAAGATCTGAAACAAGGTTAATGGTAGGGGCTGGGAAATCCAAAACAGCTGGTGACCCTAGTGGGATGTTGGAGCCAAGTTCACAATCCAGGAAAAGGAAGACAGCACTACTTCATCAAAATACTGTCTGGTGTGTGGGCAGAGAAACCCCACATACTGTATGTATACATGTACAGTCGGTTCCTCCCCCCCCCATTTTACCCCCCACCAACCCCCCAGGAGGAAAGTACCACTTCATCAAACTATTGCGGTTTTCTCTGGAGAGTCGGATAAGCACACCACGCAGAGGCACTTAACAGGGATCTCACCCTCAGGAAGCTGAGGAAAGTACTACATGTACCGGTGCTTCATCAACCTAGCCCCTTCAGTGAGAGACAAGGAAAACATGAAACACTGCAAATGCAATTGAAATGTTAACCCTAGTAATCCAAGCCTAATTCACAGTGTTTGTGTATTTGTAAAAAAACAAACCACAATATATAGGCTATAGTTGGTATTGGAGCCCCCTGTACATCTGGGTGGAATGTGTGAAGCTGAGCTCAGAACCACTTCATCCAGCTCCTTTAAACATTGTTGCTAGTCAGAATGTTATGAAACTACTGGTAAATTGTAACTGATTGTTTAAGATGGAGAAGAGAGGTGAAATGTCACAGTTTCTCAGAGTACTTCCCCTCTGCATCCACACACTTTTGACATTTCCGAATCCATTCCTTGAAGGCCTGCAGATAGTCCTCTTTTGGAATCGTCTTCAGACACTGGTAAGCTGCGCTTCCAAGCACTTCTACTGTCATATGACCTTCCTCCCAGCTTGTTCAGTCTAAGGAAGACCTAAAAGTCACTGGGTGCCAAGTCGGGGAATAGGGTGGATGTGGGAGACTACAATATGGCATTGCGGATGCTATTTGTATTGATCAAGTCCTGTATGACTGCAAATCTGTGAGCAGGAGCATTAGATGTATTTTGATGCATGAAAATTTGCTTCATTCATGTTTTGGGGAGTCTGTTTATGTAGTGTTTCTGTATTTCTGGCAGAACTAGTCTTTTGATGTAGTGTTTCCATTTTTCTGGCAGTACTTCAGTGGCATTTGCTTTCCAGTGACTGAAGTACATGTCATCTTTGGGATGGGTATCTGGGTCACTGTGTAGTGTTCATCAAAGAAAATAATACACAAAATGTTCTTGGTACTCTTGAATCGTTTGTCATTTTATCCCCTCCTTGTGGCACCCAAACTTTTTGCTGTCCTTTAATTTCTGGTTGCAAAAAGGAAAGCCATGTGTCAACTCCGCTTACAGTCTTTTTCATCCATCTGTCAGCGGCACGTTCATACTTGTAAAGCACATATTTTGCCACATCTATACTCTCTTTCCTTTGCTCCTCACCAAGAATATGAGGTACCCACTCAAAACAAAATGTCCTCATTTGCAGATGAATTGCCACAATCTTGCATGCACTTCCCTTTGAAATGTTGACTGTTGTTGCTTTCTCTTCAAAGGTCATACCTCCATCATTTTCAATTAGATCTTTCACCGTGTGCACTTTTTTCTGGGATGCAAGCAGAAGCAGGTGTTTGTGATTTGGGGTCATCTTTCACACCCTCCCTGCTTTCTCTAGAACATGCAATCCATTTAGAAATAGCTACATTTGGCCACATAAGTCTTCAATGAATCAGTGCACATTTCTGTGGTTCCACGATCAAGTTTAGTACACTTTTACGGAAGCAACTGATGTACAGATCCATCTTGGGGTTACAGTCCTCCGGGGGAGTCCACATGAAATTTTTTCGTGGCTGTGTGAGTTGCGTTGACCTTTCGTCGGTGTTGGTGGCTGTACCGGAGGACTGGTTTCTGTCATGGAAATATTTCTTTAGGCGGAGACGTCTAAAGAATGCCTCCAGATTGGCACACAGCGATACTTTGAGAGGTACAGATGGGCAGAACGTCAGGCCTCAAGACAACGCTGAATGTTCCGGGCTAGTGGGTGCGTAGCTTGAGAGATTTACGATGTTGTCATCATTGGTAGGGTTGGCAGATGTATTTCCATATGCAGTCTCAGATCCTCAATAAACAATGCAAACTAAGGTACAATCTCACCCCTGCAGAGCGTCGCGCCATACAGAGCCTCAAGACAACGACCCCACATCCACCTACAAAGAGGAACTGAAATCCCTACTCAGCACACTTCCGGCAGACACTCGACATTCAATCCAGAGTGTGACGGCTAACAACTCCAAACCAGGTACGTTCTACCTCCTCCTAAAAATACATAAACAAGGCAACCCGGGCCGGCCAATTGTCTCAGGAATTGGCACCATCACGGAAGGTATATCAGGATATGTGGTTGGTATCCTCCGACCCTATGCCCGCAGAGCTTCAAGCTTCATCCAGGTCTACAGAAAACCCACGGATCATAATAGCTACCTACATGCCTGGAGTTTTCACCGACCTCATACCACCAGATCTATAGTTAACAGCCAGGCCCTGCAATACAACCAGATTTGCTCTGACCCTACAGATAGAGATAACCGCCTAGCACAACTGCAAAAATCGTCCTTGGATTTGAATTACAGCCCCAGAACAGTTGCAGAACAAATCACCAAAGCCAAATCCAAACCCAGAGATGAGCTACTCCAGTACAAACCACGTGACAGCCCAGACAAGATCCCTCTTGTTGCCACATACAGCCCTGCACTCAAACCCCTGCTACATGTACATGTATATGTAAGGACACNTCTTGTCTGGGCTGTCACGTGGTTTTTACCCAGAGATGAGCTACTCCAGTACAAACCACGTGACAGCCCAGACAAGATCCCTCTTGTTGCCACATACAGCCCTGCACTCAAACCCCTGCTACATGTACATGTATGCATAATTAATGAACTGAACCCCATACTTCAAGATAAAACCCTGAAGCAAATCTTCAAGAATAAACCAATTGTTGCCTACAAGCAACCTCCCAATCTTCGAGCCCATCTGGTCAGCAGTTCCCTCACCCCGCCTGCCAACAATGGTACCACCCCTTGCAACAGCTCCGGATGTCAACTTTGCCCACACATAAATACCAACATGGATATCATTGGGCCCAACAATGCCACATACTCATCATTTGATGCACTTCCACCAATATTATCTATGCTATAATCTGCAAACTTTGCCCTACTGCTGTCTACATTGGACAAACTGAACAACCCCTAAGGCAACGCATGAATTGCCACAAGTTTGATATCAGGAACAAAAACACAGAAAAACCTGTTGTTGAACACTTCAACCTCCCAGGCCACTCAGTCAGCCAGTTAACAGTTGCAGTACAACAAAGGGCATTCAAGAACAGGATGCAGAGAAAAGCAGCTGAACAAAAGATCATCAATAAACTGGACTGCATCAATGGAGGGCTTAACAGGGACCATGGCTTTCTGTCACACTACAGCAGTGACTCATCACCTTTTGTCTAATGACCAGCATATAAACCTTGTCATATGATGTTCACTTCATTGCATCTGATGAAGTAGCTGTAGCTACGAAAGCTCATGCAGAGGTTTACTTTAATAGTTAGTCATTAAAGTGCTACTGATTCTTTATATTTGTATTCTACCTGACTGACACGGCTACCCACCTCTATAGATCAAGTTTAGTATGAATCTTGATGTAGACCTTTATTTCATAATTCAAATTGCCTACCATTTTTACTCCAATTCTGAGCAATGTCAGTAGGGCGTCGTTATTATGCAAATCGCACTGTGTAATCCAGGATTATATATATACCAACTAAATTTTAAAAGTTCAAGAAATCAATCAGTTGGTACATAACACATTTTTACTGACTTGCCCTCGTATGTATTTTAGTGTGAGGCCAAAACAGAAAATCAATTACCTGTGGACTTGAGGAGATTCTAAACTTCAGGAAAAACCTGTCTCACTGAAGGATTTGGTGGGATGACCACAAAGGCAGAAACTGAGAACTAGCTTCATTCATGTGGGTTTGGAACCCTGCTGAAATGAAAAAAAAATACACCTGCCAACACTAGACCCACAGGTATAAAGCTTGGTCTGGTCAGGTATGAACTGGAAACCAGTTTTGAGTGATTGACCCCTGTTGCTGCTCTGCCCAAGGCATTGCTATGGAAGACACAGACAGTGTGAGTTATGTCCATGCCTCCCTAGGTAATGCTGGAAAACCCCATGTGGTCAGGCAAGGTCTGAAAATCCAGTCTACTAGGACAGTGCCGGCATCAATTAGATTTCCAGTGTAGGTCACAGCCTAGGTAGGGGAAAAAAACAATTTACCAAAATTAAGAATACACTTTGACCACAGACAGAATCCTTCTCCCTTGAGTGAAGAGCTCACAGCTTCCCACATCCTGATCTACTGATGATTTAAAACTACATGTAGACTGAGATGGGGCTGTGATACGAGGCCAGATACTGGAGCCTGATTGTGATACCCAATGAATCTTAACAGGAACCCAGAACCTTGTCTTGAGGGGGGTGGGGGAGTTACTACATGGATACATGCACACTACTGTACAGGAAGCACAGCTTTTTGTAGGCCTACTGATTGGCTGAGCACTGTCAAAACTGGAATTGTGTTTACACCCCTCCAGAATAAATGCCTCCAATGAAACTCTGGATGTTTTCAATTTCATAGAGCACAGCATGGCTGGGGCATGATACGGGAACATCAAATTGGCAGAGAGTGCTTTAATCTACTGGCCATGTACAGTGGCCAAGCTCAATATAACACGTGGTTGACCTCCACACATGCTTCTGCAAGCAATTGTGTGTTTATGAAACTGTTGGAAATCACCAATGCATGAGATATGCTTACTGTACATGTCCATTGCTGTAGATCACTAGAAAGCTTAACAGTTTACTGGGCCCCCTCAACATGCCCTATAGTGTATGCATACTGTGTAGGCCTACATCGTCAAAATCATCTTCGCATGCTTCTTGTTTGACTCATGAAAAACATAATGCATATCAACATGCATCATCATTGATTAAAAGTGGACACAGTTCTACAGGTATTCAGCTACATGTATACATTTCAAACTGGTACGGGTATACATGTATACATACCTGGTTCCGATGAAATCATTGAAAGCACAATCCCAGAATGAGTATTTGAGTCAGTCAGAGGTGAGGCACCTGTGAGCTGTGCCAACCTGTCCAGCCAAACATTCACTACCGGAACCGAACACAGGGCAGAGGAAGGGAAGGCCTTATCTTGGGAATCGGGAGACAAAAGAAGAGAAGTAGGGGAGAGGAAAGTGTGGAGATGGGAACAATTGGTGAGCGGAAGACAGCTTTGGCTAGAGGGTGGGGTGTGGATTGGGGTCATTTTTAGGTCAGTATGCTCACTGTATTGGCTCTTGTTTGGAGACTCGATTGTAATGTCAGTTGAAAAGTATTCTCAAGACCAGTGAGTTTTCAGTAGTATTCTGAAGACCAGTGAAACTGACAAATTCTACATGTAGCCAACAACGTACATGTAGTTCATTGTAAAAAAGGAGTTAGGATCAAAGAGTAATTCCACAATTTCTTATTTTTTAGGGTAAAATGGAGAGTTACCGTACATGTGTCATTCTGTTCAAGACTGGTTGCTATTTATTCAACATTTTACAAAGACAAATTGTATTTGTATCTTTCATCACTGGTCACTGCTCTTGTAAGATCTTACTCAAAAGAAAGAAATCAGCAAATGATACATAGTCCTCGACAGTTGAGGTGTTGACTGCTAGTACTTGAGTAGTTTATTCATCAAATTCAGTAGTTTACCTAGAAGGAAACCCCCTTTTTTTACTTCACTCCATCCACATGCTACTCTTGGACAGATCAGTGAAAACAGTACACTCTTCACGCTGTCAAAATCAGGATATGGTGTCTTTCAGCAAATCCGCCATTTCACATCCATTGACAGTGGTTTGACATGCACATGTAACATACATGTACATGTTTGTCTATCACTGAGTAATCAGCAGAGAAAACTGGGTCATTTGCCTTTGCACCCAAATTCATGAACCTCCATCATGAGATTAAGGCATTAAGCTTTGCATTAGCCTTCAACAACAAGTGCATTTAATAACATGAGGTTGTTTAATTCGTTGAAGGCAAGTGAAGTTCACTCAGATGTAGGTTGGTCTTGTTGATTAGAGTAAGGGAAATAGCCTTATACACGCACATGTTTTGGCAAAGTTTCAATACATGTACCAAAAAAGACAAATATACAAGTACGCAAGCATTTATAAGGGAAAACTTGTCTCCTTTCTCTTCACTGTGTGACATTATATTTGAATGTCATACAAAAGCAATCAAAACATCAAGTGATGAAAATATCAGTGTTACTTGGAAGGTTCATTTGAAACCTAGCTGAAAACATTTCCTGACAAAACTGTTACACCCAAACAGCAGAATCCACTGTTCCACCTGTTCAGTGTATTCACAGTCTTATCCAAGAGGCGCCTAGACTGTAAGCCTATCTGAAGCACAGTGGACACAAATGGAGGGTACTGTTTGATTTGGGTAAAATCTTATGCATTTGCTCAGATGTACCCACTTTGATATAGCGCCCTCCTATTGTGTTCGTCATACTTAAAATAGGCTAATAGGCATCTTTGGCTTGACACAGCAATGTTCAGAATGGTGATCGGTGAGATAAACATGTACACACGTGCGTACACTGTACACATGTATGTGTTGTATTTTGTAATCAAATTTAACTAATGATACATTTAAACTCATGCACAGAATGGTCAGATTTTGATTTTGTATTGTATATGTACTTGTTTCTTTTTGTTCTAGAACTTCACATTCCAGTCTTGTATGAAGCTCCAGAGAGTGGCACAACTTGGCATCTAACTTCTGCATGTATTTGACTCACAACATCTGTCATGAAAAAGTGTAAGTTTACTTTATTAAGGTTGGTAAGTTTACTGGTAACTTCTTAATTTCCATTTGTGCTTGGGGTAAGTAGATACCAGAAAATTTGGTCTGTTGGAGTAGTTATTTTGACGAGTGTCTTATCATTGTTCTGCCTTCAAAAACCTCACTGTATCACGTACAATGACAGTACCACAATTAAGGTAAAGTCACATCCGATACTTACATGTAAGTGCATCCAAAGCCACAGGTTTCCAGGTGGAGCATGCAGGATTACAAAGTACATGTACATCATGCAGCAGATGTCTTTCTGTACCACTGATACACCTCAGCTGCATTGGTTTGCACACCCATCATCAATCAGGCCTTGTATATGATTGGACAGCTGTGAGTTGGGCATGGTTTTTGTGAGTGGAGCCCCTTGGAGAAGAGGGTGCGTGGGTGTGGGTTCAGCTTAGCCACCTTTGCACGTGTTCATGGATGTACCTTTGTGAGGAGGGTGTGGTTGCGTTTTCTAAAGCCTCTTGACAAAGCAATGTGAATGAACATTCACCTTGTTTCATGAGTTGAAAGAAAGTGCATGAACCTTCTTAAGTATGACACACTGGTTTTGCAATGAAAGACTTGTCCAAAAAATTGCTGCAAAGACTCTAGTACATCTAAGAACAAACAATATACAATCATCAGTCATGAAATTAGAGCACCGTTTGTTGGAAAAAAAACCCCAAAACAGAAAACCTATGATCCGTCCAATGAATTTTATTTTGATTGAGCTCATGAAAAACTAAAGCAGCATTTTCATATTCAAGCACTTAAGCTGTCATACCCCTGCTCTAAGCACACATACCGGTAATTCCCAGGTGAAATTCCCGGGTGCATCTGTTGAACTGATTTCACTGTTCAGTGTTACCCCTTGGAATTCAATATATGCTTTGCATCAAGTATCTGATCACTTTGTGAAGACAAAAGTACTTTGATCTCACTGAGAATTGCCAGATTGCAAAACATCTGTACCAGTTTGCGCACAGAAGGTAAAAAACCACCAAATGTGCTGATGTTTGATGTTAACACGATTACAAAGCATGAATCATGCTTAGAAATCACTGCCCTCCAAGTAGAGCCCAAGTGGGCTCCTTTCAGCAGGAAGATGTTCGCGTTGGTATAAGTGGCGTCTCTGCAGCAGCCCCAGGATTTGTCTTGGCCTCCCTTGTCTGTAATTAATAGACTTCCTGGAATGTCCACCCTATTAAGGCAGGCTAATCCTTGACCTATACAAGGGGCTTGCTTCCCAGAGAGCCGTGGGGTGATAGTAGGCTGTGGCCCCCTCAAACTGACGACCGACCAACCGACCGACCAACCAACTGGCTGGCTTCACAGTGCTGCAACAGTGTGTCTCTTTCCCAGGCAGTCGCAAACCGAGTCACGTACGCTACAGTTGTGTGTGACGTGGGTTACAGAAAGCTGGCTTGAGTGACAGATGCTGTTGCAAATGTGTGTGCTTCTGGAACATTTTGTGGTTGAGTGTTTGGTGAAGAGCATTGCTGCTGGTTGGTTGTGGAGAACAGGTGAGTCTGATCAAGGCATGTCAGATAAAACTGCTGACTCTGATATGATTTATGTCTTTGGCTTTCTGAATAGTGAGCGTTTAAACATGCCCTCAATTTCTGTTTTCTTTCAAAGTACTGGGACATTTCCACTTGAGATTAATACACTATGAACATCTAACAAGAGAAGCACAGTGCACTAACAATGGATGCTCATTGTTAGTGCACTGCGTTCCTTTGTTAGATGTTCTGTGTTTTGTTTGTTAGATGTTCGTAGTGATACTTGTGAAGATTGTTGGTCACATTTGCAAGGAAGAAATAAACAAATTTTGTATGTTCTTGTGTTAATGATTGTTGATGGTGCACCGTGCATAGACTGAATGCATGTGCATGTCATGTGCAATCTGTCTGCCAAATTCTTGATGGTGCTTCGTGCATAGACTGAATGCATGTGCATGTCATGTGCAATCTGTCTGCCGAATGCTTATTGCAAATGAGCATGTGTAAACGTTGGCTTGCATTGGTATCTTTAATACTGAATGCTCGTCCTATTGGCCACACCACTTGAAACACAGTTCCACACCAATGGAAATATAGTTTTGACTGAGTCATAAAGATTGACTGTGGGCTTTAAAGTGTTCTATCAAACTCTACATGTAATATATACGTATATGTACACATACCAGTAGCTCAGTTTTTGTGTTCCAAATGCGTGTTGTCCTATTACCTCTGTTAAGTGATATACACATTAGTGTCAAAGCTTGCCCAACTCACATGTACCATTTGACCAGAGACTTCATCCCAAGTCATGATGCAAGCAATATGAACGTTTTAAACCTGGTAAATAACACGTTTTTACAGTGTAACTAGTAAATAGACTTTATTCAGTGGAAAATAATTTACTTGGATAGCAAGTTTTGGTGTGACTAGTTTCAGATATCCAGTGAAGCATTTTTAAAAATATGTTGCATATTCTATTTTTCATCAAAACAATAACTAGTTATGTTTGATTTTTTTTGTTTCATTTCTACAGATTAGAGTGCCAACTAAAATCATCCACAATAGAGCAGCCCCTCAAATCTCATCCTTCACCCAAGTTCTGTGGGGATCACCTAAACTTTTGTCTTGCATCACATCATTGGAAAGAATTCTTGACCGGTGAGTATCAGTGCATTTTCAGAAAAAAAAAACAGATCTGGGCTGTTATTTTTCGTTTAATGGTACAAGGGCAGGAAGAGAAGCTTAGGGAATTGTTCTTAACCTGAGTGGAGGTCTCACCAGTCAAGTGCCATCAGCCAAGCCCAGTGCTTGAGTACTTAAGACAACTGCGCTTGTAAGCAGGAAGTTGTGGGTCTGATCTCCCCCCAAGTCATCTGTAGGTGGGATCATCTGCAGCATGGAGGGCCAGCAATGCATCAGTGTTATGCCATGGTCCTAACTATATGCACAACCAAGTTTCATCAGAATGTGCACAAATTTAAACAGTGCCCAAAGCCAATCTCTTGTTTACTGTTGAGAATGGTTTTTCTTCTGATATACTTTTTCAAAATAGACCTTATGCTTTAAGGTGGAGTCAGAAGCTATAGTTTAATTTAATTTAGTCACAATGAATGCACAAATTTATACTCAAGCCCATCCAAAAGGAAGAAAAATTACCCTCTAATATGACGTCACAGGCATACATAGGTCTATTCAATTGTACATTGTATGCCTTAACTTTCGAAGTTGTTCTTTGTTCAAAGAAGTAGCAATTACCAGTTTGTCACCTAGTGATCACACTAACATGTATGACTCAAAGAGCTGAGTCTGTCAGTCAATGTGAGCTGTTGAGTTTGATCCATGTCAGGAAATTCAATTCTTATTTTTGGCCGTTTGCAAGAATAGCAAATATAACTCTTTGGTATCCTATTATGGAGGATGTTTTTTATACCATCTTCTGTTTTTGTCACGGGTAATTGCGTTTTAGGAAAGTTGTCCCCGTTTTACATCTGTGCGGAATATCAAGTTGTGGCAGTGTGTTAGGGTTTGGTTTCTTAAGTTGACTGCAGCCAACATTTTTGGCACAGAGTCTGAGAACATGTTGGGAGGAAATTGTGAGATTACATGTGTAACAGATGCACAAGCTAAGTAAAAGCTCTCCTCGAAGTAGTGAGAATGTAGAGGCCTTACCTTAAAAATATTGCTAATTATACAATATGGACAATTCAATATCCACACAGAGAGGCCATGTTTTAAGTTTACAGTCGACAAAAAACATCGACTTTCTACTTTTGAGTGAATGTCAGTAGACAACTTGAGGAAATTTGGATAGATGAGGGCATGTCATATAATGTTTCTAAACGATGTACATTTGCATAAAGAAGAAACAATTGTTTTTGTATGAAACTTACAATATACTTCTAATTCTTCTACATCAACAAACAATCATCTGGACTAAGTCAGGTTCTAATACTCAGCCGGCAAATAGAATTTGTCCACTATTTCCCACAATGCACTACATTGCATCATGAATTGCCCCTTTTTTATTTTTAGTTCCCAGTGTCTTAAAAATACAGCTGAGCTTTTTAATATCTTCTGTTATTATGTTATTATATATTTTTAATACCTTCTGTTATATCTTCTTCTGTAAATTAGAGCCAATTGGTCTTGTTTTTATCATCTTCATGGTGTTTGTTGCGATTCTGGGGTTTGAATGGAACTTGGTGCTGTAGTCTTTAACAGCATCATTAATGAAATACTCAAAATCCAAGGGGCCTGCTTTTGTACTCTATGGGAGGCCACCCTTAGTTGTCATATAATCAGATAAAATCTGATTGTATGGAATAACAGACTCCCTCACCCCTAACTGCAAAAATTTATTGATCAGGAGTGTGTGATCAATAAGATCAAAGGCTTGTCAAAATAGTCAGTCAAAATTGCCCAGAATTCAGGGTCATTTGTCTGTGCCACTCTTTGGAACTAATCCTGGTGTAGCATGGAGCAACCTTGCTTGTTCTAGAATGAAAGTACATGTAGAATAAAGAATATTACTTCCGACGAGCATGTTGTCCACTGAGACTTTTTTTTACAAAAAACTGCATGGAATTCATGTGGGCCTATTTTTCATGCACTGCCTGGGATGCAAATTGCAAAAGTGTTATCTAAGGCTAAGCATTGAAAATCGCACGCACACCAACTGAGACTAAAATGATAAGGATGTAGTTGCTTTGAGCTTGACCCACTTTTGGCCGCCCTGGCATTTGCGACAAATTAAGTTTGACCTCTTTACCCAGGCCTCTTACCCCGGATGGGCGGTCAGGTTTGCTCAGTGGGGCTTCCCCGTGTCCCCCTTCCCTTTGCCTTTTTCACCTGCAGAGGCTCCGGTTTAACCCCCGCTGGGGCCGATCTTACAGCATTAGATTTTGTTCCCGGGAGCCCCGAGAATCGTACGGAAGAAATGGGAGTGAAATGAAAACCGATGCAGAGGAAACTGACTTCGCTTGGAGGTCTAGCAATATGCACAAAGGAAGCTTTTGTTTCTTTTTTCTTTCTTTTTTTCATTTAACACATGGCTCAGATAAAATCCATGTTCATGCTCTAGTTTAAAGCTTTGTTTCATCAGTGCAGTGAAAGGTGTCAAGTTTCAAGATCATTAGCCCTTCATTTGTGAATTTTGTACATGTAGTTTGAAGCCTCAAATTTAAGAGTGCAGACATCTGAATTTTTGTCATGCGTAGGCAGGATTTACATCTACATAATGCAACCAGTTGAGTTTTTGTTCTTTCTGGTAAACTTCCAGTTTTTCAGGTTGTTAGAATAGTAGTGGAATACCAATGTTGTTTTCATTTCAGCCTTTAAATTGGAAATTGTTGTTAAAGTTTGCTATCTGTTGTCATTCGGTATTGCGCTGACACATTTTCGTAGCTACGACAGCTGTAACTGACATGCTTTTGAAGACGAAATTATGACTTGTGCTTCTAACTGTAGACCTTTCAGCACTGAAGTTTTTGTACACATTTATAATCACTTGGTACTCTGAAATCTTCTTTCTCCCTTCTCAGGTATGATAGAAAAAATAATGGCATCTCTTAGCACGTGAAGCCTGCCAAGATTTTCACCAGGGACTTGCAAGCAAGACGACGGCCGTGATTGAGGAGCAGCGACTAGTTGCTGCCCCTTCCCAGCATGCCCTGCTGTTCCCTTACGGCGGCAGCAGCATGTTGAAGGGGGGCCGATCTATGCGCCTCAACTGGCGGGAGTTGATGATCATCGCTGTCCAGCCTGCCAAGTTCTTCTCCAAGGAAGGCCCACTGTACATGAAGATTGTCCCAAGCGGTTGGAGGAAAAAAGGCGAAAGTGAGTTTTTTTTGGCTTGATTTTATTTGAACTGAATGCCCAACCTCACATCCTGCATGAGTAGTAGGAAACACAATGCCTTCCAAGTTGAAATGGTTTTAGTTGGTGTGTGTATTGCTGATTGTACCATATCGTTGCCATAGTCTAACCATCTCAGTGCTCTAGAACATGTACTCTCTCTCTCTGCTATCCCTCATGTTATGTGTATGATGCCTGCTTGATGTGAAGGCATCTATTTCCATCTGGGTTCTCAGGTGGCTGGTGAGTCCTATCCTTGAGAGCCATTGTCTTTGGCAGTACTGGCATACTAGGCTGACTGATGAGGCATCACGTGAGCCCGAACTAGTCCGGGTGGACAGCCGTGGCTTTCTAGCCATCCTTAGCTGACAGCGATATTCTCTTTTTTCTTCTAATACCTTGATGCCTTACGTGCTATCAGTCAGACTTTTCAAACACTAACCCTCCTTTTGCTGTAACTGTCAAAACCGTCCAAAATTCCTTCTACTTCTGCCTGTACAGTACACTGACATATCATATGTCACTTGACTGATTTGACTGCTGGGACTACTGCGTCAAGAATGCATCTTTGCATAGGAGGGTTAATCAATCTTTTAAATATTTAAAGAGCAGAGGTGGTCTTTAAATATGTCAGTCATTTCATTATTGTATTCTTTGATTTTTACCCAAAACACCATACGCACGCCAAAAGTTAGAGCATGGTTTGACACACATTTTCAAAGGGAGGTGGTGGACCAGGGGTTTTTGGGTAGGCTGGCGCCTCCATTCTCAAAGCAGTCGGGGTTGTAAATTGCGGTATGTGTCATGTCGCATGCATTCGCGTTTACCAGGCGTTGGACGGAATGCTTTGCCCATGTGAGACCTGATGCTCGATGCGTCAGCCATGAACTCTGTCGCATCTCATCCTATCACAGGCTGTGATCCGATTGTACTTGACACACACTTAACACATATTATCAAAAACATAATGCGAGCACATAATTCAATTGTGGAATCTGTTCCCATACCCATGTGCGTCTAATCATGCTGTGCTCTCACTGGATGCTGTTTCAGAGGAAAGTACATGACAGTAATTATACATACTGGCAAATAAGATCAATGCAAGTATACTACCAAGCTGATGTAATGATGAGTCCAGATAGTGTGAATCATAAGCCACCATAAAGTTTGAAATGATGCAGGCTACCTTGAGCGCCAAGCTGCATTAACCACTTCCTGTGGGGTGGAGTTTGCACATGCGGGATGACTTGCTGGGTAATTTTTCATTTTCAAATTCTTCAAAAATTCATAACTTCATTTACTGGACGCTTACACCCACACAAATAACTGTCTGGTGGCTCTCTAATCTGACAGGCACCTCCATTGATGCCCTGGTATTGCAGCCAAGCCTAAGGTATAGAGAGCCCACAATTGTGCAGTGTTGCATAATTTCTTTTGTTAACGAAATTGGCCCAGTGTGTTGCGAAGTGGCAGTGGTGTCTTTATACATGCGGCCAGATTAGCGTGCAGCACCACTGTATCACTCATCACTGGAGTGCTGGAGCACTCAAGCACTTTTGTCCCCATTGATAATCCGTTGGCACTGAATGCCTCAAACAGTGGTATACTGTTTCAAAATTACCTCCGCTAATGCCAACACTTTATGCTGAAAAATGTTGGCAATTCCCAGTCTTTTGTTATAAGGCCCAGTTCCTTTTTCCGATTTCGGGCACCCCGGCCATGCATATAAAGCCAATGTCTCTGTTAGGGGGCTGCCCGGCACTGAGTGGTTAAGATGCATAATTATCTTCATGTGTGTCATAAGCCATTATAAACCACAAGCCACGGTCACATTGGTAGTTGCTGTGAGCCACAAACTGCAGTGAGCTTCAATCCACATTGATTTGCCGCATAAAATAATTAAAGCCACAAGCAAGACATTTCAAGGGTTACAGACATAGAATTTTGAGCTAGGTATACTAGTTTTCAAGTACGAGAAACAGGAAGCCTCCTTAATCCAACAGAACCTGATAGTGGAACCAAAACTCCTTCTCTCACTTTTCAGACCAATGAAATCCAACTGGAGCCCATCCTCTTCAGGAGTCTTTTAGACTTTGCTTTCCACTAATCACACCAGATGTGCCCAAAAGGAAATATATCCTCCTTGTACTTTCCTAGCTCAAAACAGAAATGTAGGCCATGCTACCCAGGCAAAGGATGTTTAGAATTAACTGAGGTAATCCTTGAGAAAAAGCAGAGGGATATACTTAACACAGGTGTTGGACTGAGGAAAAAACAGTTGTTTTCATCTGGCCATTATCACCCCAGTTTAAGATTGCTTCCCTCCTGCAGTCACCTCTGATCAGAATAAAGGGTGTTGAGCAGAAATGGCTCAACACCTCAATCTTTTTCATTTTCATGGACAAGCTGATGTTCCTGGTGACAACTTGCATGGCATTTTGTGTTTATATGTAATCTCTGAACAATTGGTCATTTTGTGAAGTACATGGTGTGAGTATTTCGCTGTTGAAGTAGAGATCAGAAGAAAAAGTATGGTCTTAGTAGTGTCAAACAACAAAAGCCTTTTTGGACTGCATACATGTATTTGTGAAACAAATTGTCAGAATCATTTGGTTTAAACAGATATTGTGAAGGGCATTAGTGTTTTACCACATGCCTTGTTAATTTTCTGCTTTCTGCCATGCTGAGGAGCAGTAGACTTGGCTGTGGAAGAAATTAAAGGGCCAAACATTCTTTAGCCAAGGGGTCTTTAGAACATCAGAAATTACATAAATGTCGTATTTGTTGAAAACAAAAAAGGTTGATTATGGGCTATGGAGTGTGTTTTGGGATAAAAAAAAGCAGGTGAAATGAAAGACTAATTACAGCCCCTTGGCAATGAAATGGTAGTCTTGATCTCAAGTCACTCAATTGCCTTTTCTCTTTACTCTTGTTAACTTTTCATTTCTTTGGATATTGACTTCTCCCAAAGTATCTGATGATCAAGTGTTGCCACTCAGTTCAGCTCTTCATCTGGGTCATCATGTGACCTCCATATTCTCTCCCACAATGCCTGGCATCATGATTGGTATTGGTTGTGACATTCCCCCCCCCATACCTCACCGTCAGCCAACTTGTGACGTGTGTAGCAGATATCCAAGCATTCACGAGTGTGCCTCGTCAAGCCAGGCTGCTCTTGTATTTGTTGACTTTGCAGGAGCCCTTAGCAGATTCCGCCAGCCCCGGAACGAGCTAACCTTAACTGACACTAAGAGGAACAATGTCCTAATAAGCCCCTTCCCTACCCACCCCCTAAGCATAGCTTCCCCAGGAAAAGACAATGCAGAGCAGATGGGGATGTGAAGAGACAGGGAGAGGGGGGAATGACTTGAAGGACAAAGCACCACCAAGGCAAAAAATCTAGTTCTCAGTGTGCACGTCTTGTTGTGAATACCTGATTACAAATTCCTGATAATGAATTTTAAAATTCTTTGGTTATAAAATTAAAGATTCTTTGGTATTTATGTGCAACTGTAAACCAGTGAGCCTGATAAAAGGAGCTTAGTGAAGACAATTTAAATTTTTCTTAAGCTGGCCCAAAAATCTGATAAATTTCCTCCAGAAAAATCCAGAGATTACATGTAGGATATACATCATGAAGGGGAAATGCTGGTGCACTTCATAGCAACATTTTTGTCAGTTGAGAAAAAAAAGTTCATCGAAGCAGGATTTGAACCAGCAACTTCAGCATACCTGACAAATACTCCACCAAGTCCAACCTATTCGTCCAAATTGCAGCCTTTAAATGTTCTACTCCCCTCCAAGGCACTTTGATTAATATCCCAGTTGTAAGAGGCCCATCAGTGAGTTTTCAAAGATTGACTTTTTACTTGCGAGCTATTCAACATACACGTTGAGATACTGCCCTGTCTAATTTAGGGCCAAGTTCGTAGATTTGCATAGCAACAAAAGGTGCCAGTCTGAACATCATGATCATGGAATTATATTGCCTGTTTGAGGTTTCTGGCTGTTTTTGAGCCATTTTGTTCTTGTCTGCATTTTTGTCAAAATGGTCCCTAGAACTGACTTAACCTGACTTCACTGTGAGCATACTTTCTGACATGGGCATAATCATGGATAGATTTGGACTATGCATTGCACCAAGATGCACTGCAGAATGTACTGGAACATTTCCATGTTTACATCTCTGTGCAGTCTACTCAACATTTGCACCTGCCATTCCTTTAATTCTTAACCAGCCAGGACTCTTTTTCCAGTGATAAAAATGGGCCAATCATGCCCAATAAGTATTCTCTTTCATCTGGGTTACTTATCTGACAGTAGTGCAAGAAATTGAATTTTGCACTTGACCCAAAAGTTGTCTAATTTGGAACTTGGGCCATACCAGCAGTCATGTTGCATACATACCACGCATGCCTGTTATCTAGCACATTACTCCACATTTTCTTTTTTGTTGTTTTGAAGGCACATCCTAGTCAGAAAAAAAGCGGGGAATCCCCTAGAGAGATTAGTTTCATGCCTTTTTATAGGATAGCTGCCTATAAATAGTGGGTATCCAGAATCCATGCTGACTTTTCCTTCCCTATGTGAGTGCAAATTTCCTGTGGGCGAGACGTGCGTGTCAGAGGAATTCTTTTGTAGGGATCATCGAATGTGGAGGCAACGGTACAACAACGAGCGCCTGGAATGAACACAACATGCTTATCATCCCATGATGTCCAAAAGTGTATGCAGATTTCATATCCCTGATTGGCCCACAAATGATACTTGTATGTGCATGTTGTTGTGTTGAGCACTGAACACCTGTTTGTTTGCATGCAGAAATAGTATATGTGAACCATTCAGGGCAAGGCGTGTTATTGTAGACATTCAAATACCTCTGGCTACCTATCTAGTCCGGTGCTAGGCCCATGCAGTTGACAGAATTCTAGAAACAACTCTGAGTCTGCAATCTAGAATAGCAATACCATGTCTCTGGCTATTTTATATTCTCTAAAAACAGTAAATGCTTAAACATGTTCGTTCTTTTGTACCCACACTACAAATGAAGTCACTGTATCAGTCTCAGTGGGATACTATGTAATATGAGCAAGACCACTGATTCCACTGAAACACAAAGACGTGTCAGTGAAGATTTTTAAAATGTGAATAGGTATACAAGGCCATAAAAAAAAATCCTGTCCAAGATTTGTGAGGATTTGGAGGAGGAAGACCTATTGAAAATGACACATTTTTTGGAAAGATGATGGATGGATTTTCTATTAACTCTTGCCGATACTTTGTGTCTGAAGGCACTGTCACCCTGTCCATTAGGATGTGCCCACATGTACAACTGATTTTGCAAGAACCAAAGTCACGATCTATTACCAATGAAAGAACATGAAACAATCAATGCCAATGGGAAAAAGGAAAGATGTGTAGATGAGAAATTAACTTAGTTTGTCACTAGACTTGAAACTTACCACACAGTGGACAGACTGTTTATGGCTGGTGTTTTTATTAGTTTTTATTTCTGTCCCACTTCAGTTTACAGTGAAAGATGGTGTCGTCTGAGGGGGAACCTCCTTTTCTACTTCAAAGGTCGCGACCTCTTATCAGAGCCCCAGGGGGTTGTGGTCCTGGAGCAGTGCTTCATAAAGGAGGAATATGGCGAGATTCAGTCCTTCGCTTTCTGTGTGGGTAAGTCTCTCAGTCTTGTTTACATCAGGCAATATTTTTGTGCCTACAACTTTGACCTTCTGGTGTTGTTACACAGTTGCTTGCAACTAAAGCCATGTAAACCACCAACTGAAGGCTTGATGATCCAGCTGCCAGAGCACCAGTATAACATTCCTTAGGTCAGAGGTTCAAATCCAACTCCAGTCGAATTGATCATTGTCAACAGATGCAAATGCTACCAAGTGGAGAAAAATCTTCCCGCATTTCATAAAGAAATTAGATACCCTGCATTATGTGCACATACATTATACATTTACATCACTGGTGTAGCCTGTGTTTCTGCTAGCTTTGGGAAAAGATCATATCCCAAAATCTGAGGTCACTAACATCAGTGTTGTTCAACATGGTGAGTTTGCAAAAATCTAACTTGTCAGCATTCTCTTATCTCACTTGCCTTTTTCCTGTATCACCAAGAAACAGATTTTCTGATACACTGATCATTAAAGCATTTCTTTTCAAGAAGGGGCACAAGCCTTTTTTGGGCACAAACAAGTGAAAAGAGAATAAGGCAGTAATTGGGGACGAGGATCTTACACTGATCTGACCGATTCATGCAATCAGTCATTGCTGGCAAGCACTAGGCACAGATGATTTGAAGACTGTTGGGAGAGCTTAGGCCTGTCCAGGAAGTAGGCTCGCATTCTGTAATGCTGAGGATTAGGCTCGTTTCAAGCTCGCAAATTTGATGAGCGCACAAGGCGATATACAAAAAGTTATCAAACTGTACCCTGATAGGCCCTGCTCTGACTGTTTTGACTCGGCTAAGGGGTGCTTTTGCTGAAAAAGATTTAAGCCAGATCAGACACAGTGACCCAGAAGATAATTTTTTGCATGTTGATGTAATTTGAAAGCAACTTGAAGTATGGTGTGTTGTTTAAACCGAGGTTATCAAGGCTTCCTTATATTTTCTCAGAGTATCATGGGAATAATGCAGTGAGTAAGTCAACAAGTTGCATAATGTCAAAATTATTACTTCAATGTCTGGCTTTGAAAAAATCCTTGACAAGAAATTCCCAATCACAAATGCGATCTTGTGTGTAGTTTAATAAGGAGTTCAAATACATGTTTGCTGTGTACGCCAAATGCACAAAAAATTAATGTACATTAGTGATAAGTGGGAATTGGTTAAACTCAGTGTCAGTCTGCCCACGCACAGATCCACGTAGGTCTTAGCAACGAGTCCACTTGTGGTGTTATTTTTTGTACCTTTTGGTCTTTGATACTTTACGGGCTGTGTGTGCAGAGTGCCACTGGACAGTGAAGTCACTGAATGGGCATTTCTGTGGTTAGCTTCATAACATTTTCTTGTTGCATTGTTCTTGGGGCTCCTGTATCAACATTTGTAAGGATGAGTTTCACCAAATCAGTGCTATCAGTATCTACACATCTTATTAAGACCTGCTATCTAGCCATAAGCAAATTCACTGAAACTTGATTTCTGACCTGTAGTTAGAAACGTATCTTGGTTAGTCACACTACAAAAAATGGACAAGGATAAAAAAGCCTGTGCAAAGAAAGTTTCCTCATGTGGGTTACTGTTGAGTAAACTGACATCATTTCTGTACTTGCCTACTGACTCACAATGTCACATATGTTTTGATGTGTATCATTTCTCAATTTCTCTAATCAGTTAAAGCATGCCCAGTGATCTTGGTTAGTAATGTTAGTTACGTTAAAATGTGTCCACCCATCTTTGGCACAAGTTGAAACACGGAAGAACTGACAATCAAACAAAATGGTTCTTTTGGCACCGAATAAAAACATTTTTCTTTGACCTAATGTTAAAAAATTGCACCTTGTTAATTAAAACAAGGTGGCAAAATGGGTACTTAGAACCATGATTTTAGCCCCCAAAACATGCTTAAATGAATACCATCTCATAAGCACACTGATAACGTGAAGCATCTTCTTGTTTTGTTTAATTTGATACCTTATTTGTGGTTGTGATGCTTGTACCAGCATTTCTCAAGATGTGTTCAATTTCCATTTTAAACTTTGTCCATCTCTTCATGGAATTAGCCATAGTAATTTCTAGATATTTTGGAAAACAAGTCAAAAGAAGCATATCAAATGAGTTTCTGTAATTCATGATCAAGTTGCATGTTTCTTCTTAAGTGACATGGATAAAAATGTATGGGGTACATTTTTCTTGAGGTGGTACATGTTTTTTTACCAGTTAATTTATTTCAGGGGGCCAGGGAGGGGTAGAACCAGTCTCTTTGGGTAGGGGTGTGGTTGATTTTTGGGGGATGGGAGTGAGGGCATGAGTAGTTCTGAATGTACATCCGTCAGGTCACCAGGGGCTCGTCCCATGGCCTGCTTGGCTTTAAATTTGGAACACTAATAGACTTTCAGTCAAGTGACAGATGTAACTCATGCAGAACTTGAAGTAGAATTGAAAACTACTCACAGCACCCCACCACAAAAAAGGAAAACATTTCTGAAAAAAGAGATCAGTTTCAATGTTGCCCAGCATTTCCAAAAACTTGGGCATTTATGCATGTTAAGGCCCTTTAGTGAGAAAATTCAGCAATCAAACATTGCCAGGTTCATACATGTACATGTACCTCCAGACTCTCACTTGCACACTGACTGAAGTCTAGTGCTGTACACCGTTCATGTGAGTTTGTACACGGTCATTCAGTGTATTCCATGGGTGCTTTTCTTCAGCCAATTGGCCGAGCATGGCTGTGGCTACATGTAGCAATAACACCTGTGTCAATGGAAAATGGTTGAAGCCACTTTCAAATGGCTGCCATGGAGAGACTTGGTATTCCAGTCATAGCCCTAATGTGACCCATGGGTAGACTTTGCAGCGCCCTCAGTAGGCATGCACGAAAGGGATGCAGAATCTTCCATTCACATGAACAGTTTGCATACCATTCTGTGTTATCTATGTATCAGAATCTCAAAAAATCAAAAGGCTGTGGATTTGCCAAGAAACTTTTCAGTCAAAGGCTATCTTGTACTAAAGACTGGATTGTTGAAAAAAAAGGAATTGATATAAGAAGCTCCCATACAGAAAACAGTCAGTAGCTGTGCAACTGGTTGCCGTTCTTTTCCTGGTCTTGGATACTCTTCAACTTGGGAGGGGATTAGGAATTTCCTAGGTCAGTGTACCTTTGAGGTTATCATCCAATTCTCTGGTCAGTGTACCTTTGACGTTATCATCCAATTCTCCAACTTTCTCTTCTCCAAGAAATGCTTTTCTGACATCAGCCCGACACTTGTTGGTTGCTCTCAGTTTGTGTTAGGTTGACATCACTCTGCAAAATGCATGTTACACCTGGCACCTAAGAGGTTAATACACTCGCCAACTTTGCCCTAGTTGATTGGCTGAGTTAGAGGAAAGAGAACGAGGAAATATTGAAATTACAGTACAGATATTCACACATCAGCAATTTCCAAATGTCTGGAAAATTTAAACAACTTGTAAAATTACAGAAATGTCTCTCTTTGCCCTTTCAAGTTTTCACAGGAGAATCACCTCTCCTGATGTTACTTGTGCCATTTGATCCGTGCAATTTCCTTCTTCTTTAAACAGCATAATTTCTTTTCTGGTTGAAGGGAAGCCATTTAGGGGGTTTGCTGGAGACATCGATCACTTCCTTGTTCCTTGGAGAATTTTTATGAAGCAAATGGGTTCCAAACTCTCCACGAATCTACATCATTTTGCAAACCACTGATATCAACTGATGGAATTCTCTTGCCTTTAAACAATGATCTTAAACTTCATGTTTCTCGTGGTGTTTCATTCTCTGCCTTGTGGCCTTTACACTAACACCCACAGCAAACTGATTTGAGAACAGCAAAGGTCATAAATCAGGATTGCTTGAACTTGGATGTGTATGAACTTTGCTGGTCTGTTTTTTTGCTTCACAACCTGTGTATCCCTCCTGTTTGGCCTGGTGTCAACAGATCTAAGCATGCAGTATTTCCTGGGTTCCCAGAATTTGAGCAAACTGCCTGGACCTGATGCAACCTCAAGTGGGGCATCTAAAATTAGCTTGCCTACCAAAACAATAAAGAACAAGGGAGAAAGAGAAACGAAAAAGAAGAAAGACTTAAGATGGTTCAAGTCAGCAGACTTTTTGTGCAGACAATTTGTGCCATCTGGCATGACATGCCGTGTACAGGGGATTAGCTGACATCACATTTTTTATGGGGTTTCCTTATTTGAATTGGCCAATGCCCATCCAGCACCAGCTCTTGTTTTGATTGGTACAAATCTGACGTTGCACAGGATGTGTCGGAAATTAAACCACAGTATCAAAGGAAATCGTACTTTACTGATAATGAATACCCCAGAAATTGAAGTTCAGAGTTGTGTCTGCATTCATAATATGTAAATGGTGGCTTCATACAATGTTCTTGTTATAATGAAACAACTTAGTTCCACATTAAAATAAACACACTGGTCTGCCATCCCTCTTGACATGGTCTTGAGGGCTGCATTTTACATGTACCGGTTTGATTGGAAAGACATGTACATACCGTAGGTTGGTCTTTTTTATCAGGCCTGAACACAGGGTTTCAATTATGGGGATTACATATATGTAGTCTCAAGACATTGGATCATCACAGACATATATGTACATTCAGATTAGCCAAGTAAGATTTTTTTGGAGAAAATATCTTACCCTGGATAAGGTTATAGTTGGCCAGACCTACGTGCTCCTTAGATACTAGGTTTTCCTTGATACATGTACATTCATGTATTTATAAATAGAGGCTCTCACACAAACAAGCGTACACTCATACCGAAATCTGTATCCTTGTGGAGACATGGCTATGTTTTCATGTACTCATGTGTGAAACAATGTTTTCAAAATGTCCCCATTTCAATGTGAATCACCATCCTGGGCTGAAGTTTTCACCAAATGTCCTTTATATAGCACTTCAATTTGCTACAGATTTTTTACTCATTAAACTTTTCTCCCTTTTGAACGATTTTCAAATAT